GGCTTTGGAAGATAAGCCTATAGAGGTGTTTCAAGATAACATGCCATGTTACTTTCATGCAGTAGAGAAGCAGCAGCTCGCCTGCGTTTAAGTGACTCGGTACAATGGTGAGCACAATGCTTGATAAGTAGGGACGTGCTCACCCAGCCATGGATAGAACTAAATAATGAAGCAATTCTGCTGGAGCTATTCTTTTGTTGGCGGCAGGCTATCTATCTGTAATACCCAATTCTGACGTGGCATTGTGTATGCCACTCACCCCTTCATGTGCCATGCCGACCTGTTAAGGCTATATGGGGATCTTTGTGTTTGTGGAGAGAGTGAAGAGTTTTCCATACCTGGGCAGTGTGCTCATGACCAGCTCCGGTTTGACAACAGAGGTCTCATTCCGAATCAGTCAAGCGGCATTAACTTTTCATCAGTTGCGTAAAGCTACCTGGTCTGTCATTCCACATGAAGCTTCGGGTCTTCTCGGCCACAGTCATGCCCTCCCTTCTCTACGCTTGCAAAATGTAAACCCCCCGAATGGTAAATCTTCCCTGGTTAGAAACATTTAGGCTGGCCTGCCTAAGATCCATCCTGGGTTTAACCAGGCTGGATTGTGTGAGGAGCTCACAGATCTTTGAAAGATCTGGACAAAATCCCATCGGTGAGCTCCTCTGGCAGGCAAGGTTGCATTAGTTGGGTCATGTAGCCCACATGCCTAAACAGCTTTTGTTCGGCCAGATAGAGGGGGCTAAACGAGCACGGCACGAGCTAGAGAAGAGATGGAGTGATGTGGTACAAGAGGATGTGGAGCTGAGTGGACTGGTACCAGTGGTGTCTAGATCGGCCTAATTGGAGGAGGCTCGTGAATGCTGCTGCTGGGCAGTTGGGTGGCTGAAGCACAGCAAGTTGGCACAGTACGGGGCACAGGTGGTGCATCGGCCATTCATTTCAGTCAGTGGACCCCTGGCACCTGGGTCTGCCCCATAACCTCCTACCAGCGGGCCTTCGACACTTCACGTGGCCTCAACATGCACATAGCCTGGCACAAGCGACGTGGTGAGGTCACTGCCACTTAGTGGCGAATGGCGGTTGTTGTGTCGACCTGTATGGGTGGTCTGTGTAATGTAAAGGAAGGGTTGTTGGCGGCCGCAAAGTCCTAAACTTTTTAATGAAAAACAAATGGAACAGGTTCCCTCTTGTGAACAGCACTTACTCCAACACAGCATCGAGAAAAAACGCGCACCACGGTAACTCCCGGGTCGGCCGCAGCGAGATTCTAAACGGCAAACCCCTCTGTGCCGTCACGAGCGCCGCCACCACCGGCCTGTCCCCCCTCCCCCGAACGCCAACGACGACACCCGGCAACCTACCCGCCGGAAAAAAATTCACGGTGCTCAAGCGGTAAATGTCGTGGGTTTACTCTCCAGCACGCAAAGCGGCGGGGTCGAAAGCGGTCGCTCATCGGCCACGGTTTATAGCAGCAGCTGTCAGAGTCAGGATCGAACCCACGACCTCCTGTAGACCAGGCGAGGTAGTTAACATCTCATAGCCACTGTGGTGATGATGATGATGAGAGAGTGAGAGAGACGCAAGCTCCAAATATACGGCAGCAGCTGTCAGAATTGGGATCGCACCTACAACCTCCTGTAGGGTTGCACGGATTCCTCCAGTACAGACAAAAGTTTCTGATGGATGTGAAAGTGACGTAACCCTGTGAGCCCCACCCGGCACGGCCAATGGGAGACGTTTGTCACTTGAACGGAGTGCGGTCGTTTAGTTACTGCCGCTGGTGGTGATCACCAAGCGGGACGTCAAACTCCACTGTCAACGTTGTGGGTTTGCTCTCCCAGAACACAATTGGTGTGCGCTAAAGTAGTAACGAATTGAAACTATTAAACTCAACAAATTTATTTTTCATTTTACCAGGCGAGGACCCACCGACCTACGCAGCTATTTTCACAAGCGAACCGGCCGTCACAAACGATGGCTCAATGACGCGGCGTTGTCGTCGTGCGTGAAAATCTCCAGCGAGCGGCTCTCCGAACACAACTGACGGGGGCGATGAGCCACGCGCTCGCACGCGTGGACCCCGTGACGCTTGTGCACGACGCGGTTTTTTTGCATTTGTTTGTCGCTGTAACGTTTTTACCCCGGTGCCCTCGACCACAAGTCTGTGGGAAAAGAGCTTCACAGCTTGTCGGATTCCTACCTCCAGCGTAAATAAATATTTCCGATTCAGATTCCGTTTGCGCTCAGAGGAGGCAATCGACTGGCGGTAACGACGAGAGGCTCCTGCCAAGCGCCACAGGGAGTAGGCAGATGACCTGCGGGCAGCGTTAAGACCACAGGAATCTGATGCGCGGTGAGGCCAGTGGGCGAGGTCCTTTCTGCGTCGTTTTTTTTCCCCACGAGTTTTTTTTTTGGGGAACCCCTTGCGACCGCATTGGAGGGCGGGGAGGCGGGCGCGAAGGGAAGGACTCTCGCGTTGTTACCGGGGGGAGGTCACTTCCTGGCTCCGGTCACCGCGGCTTTGGCGGGGAAGGGGAAGCGGAGGAAGCCGTCGGAGTGCGGCGACCTGCCCGGGGGGCTGCCGTTGAAAAACAACGGCCTCGGCGCAAACTCCGCCTCCTCGGGGCGGCAACGCGGAGGCGTTTTCATCATCCAGCTCCACGCGTTTCCCTCCGCGCCTTGCGACGTTCGCGGGGTCGACGTCGCTGCTACCAGCGGGGGGGGGGGGGGGTATTACATTACGTACAAAACGTCACCGTATGAACCTATCCCCATTTTCCCTGCTTGGTCGGTTCCTAACAAAGTTCAAACATATCATTATCAGAGTTGTTTCTTTTCGTTTGCATTTTTGACTGCTTGTGTTGTGGTTATTGCAAACATGATCCCATGTATAAAGGTGTCAGTTTTTGTTGTGCCAGCCAAAAGGGTAAAAACCTATTCCTATATCTTGTTACTGGGCAAAGGAGGTCTCATAATGTAAAGGCTTACCCCGTGCCCTCAATACTCCCTGATGGTGCGCTGTTTTTGAGTTGTACGCCTTTTGGCGTCTTCTGGTCCAACACCAGTGGAGACTAGGCTCTAAGAAAAGCCATCTCGGGTGTGGACCAATCAAATTCAAGGACAGTGCATATTATTATCAGAGTTGTCTCTTTTGTTTGCATTTTGACTGCTTGTGTTGTGGTTATTGCAAACATGATGCCTTGAATAAAGGTGTCAGTTTTTGTGCCAGCTAAAAGGGTAAAAACCTATTACTAAAGTTCAAACGGCCCTACCGAATCTCACTATGAATGGCGAGGACGCCGCGCCGTTCGGAGCCTCCTCCTCCTCAGCGCGTCTCCCCTCGTCGATAGCGGAGGATCGCAGGCGGAGGCGATCGTACGAGACCTGCAGTTTCTTCTGCTCCCGGTCCCTCTCCAGCAGTTTCTCGGCAGCCTCGTTGTACCTCTTCTTGAACTTGGCCAGCTCGCTCTTGGCAAGCGAGAACTGCCGCTTCAGAGTGGCGACCTCCGTGACCTTGTTCTGGATCTCCTGCTTGAAGCGGTCCTCAGACTGCACCCTGAGCCTCTTTGATTTCGCGGCCAAGTGTTCCTGATACAGTCTCTCCTGGTGCACCTGCGAGATGGAAAATTTGATTAAACGTATTTTTAATCGGTTAAAGAGCCGTACGCGCAAGGGGACTTACATGTAGAAGAATAACTCGGTTAGCGAAGCCTCTGGGAATGACGAAGCTCCAAAAAAAAATCGAAAGAATGAAAAACAAATATTCATAATTTTCAATTTAAAGCTTTCGTGACTGCAGGGATTCATGTTCTGGGTTCTTTCGGTAAAGTCACCACGTAGAATTGAGATAAAAAAAATAACAGAATTTATTCTGTAATAAAAATTAAAATAATAATAACATAATAAATTCTGTTATTATTTTTATTATTTTATCTCCATTCTACGTGACTTTACCGAAAGAACCCAGCAGGAGAAAAATATTCATAAATCACGCAAATTAATTCAAGAGTGACATCTTAAACGCTGTACATGTTCTAAGTAGTGCCACCGATAATAGACGGACTAAATATTAACTGCGTCATTCCAATGGTGCTCGCTAAATAAAGAAGTGGCTCCAAGTCTTTTTGTCTCCGAGTTAGTCACTACTTATGTTTGGAGTTTGCACGTTCTCCCAGTGGCCGTGTGGATTTTCTCCAGGTCCTCTGATTTTTCCCTCCCAATGTTTAGAAACGACATCTAACGCGTTTTAGAGTATTTGACTGCTGTAAATTTCCACGTGATGATAACAGCCGCTTGGGTTTGGCTATCATTCGTGATGGCCAGGTCGCTTCTGCAAAAAAAAGAGGTTACGTAGCTCAGTGGGACTTTATCCGCTAAAATATAAAACATTTCAGTTTGTTACTTTTTAAAAATAAATGTTATTTTTATTTTTAAAAAGTCACCGATCCGTCGCCGATACCTGAAAGATCCAGAATGAAAGCGCCCGCGAACATATCTCCTGGATGACGTCCGGCCCTAGGCCCGCCAGCACCATGGACTTGTGCTCCTCGGGGGGGTTCAAGCAGACCCGCACCACGTCCAGGCTGCCGCGCGGCAAGGCGCCGCACGCCGGGCAGGCGGCCGCCCCCGTCTTGAACTCGCGTTCGCCGTCCTCGTCGCAAAAGAGGATGCGAGCAGGAGGTGACCCAGGCGAAGTCGCCGAACAATGCGCCGGCACTTCCTCAAGTTGCACAGCAGAATTTGTTCGTGCGCCGACATTTCCTCCCCGCCTGACCACTGGCCCCGGGGGGTCCGCCAGTTCTTCCTGTTCCCAGTCGCCGCCGTTCTGGTTGAGGGAAACGAATCGCGGGTGAAACACGTTTTCGCATGGAGCGCGCGAAATGCGTTCGCGTTTTTTTTTTTGCGAGCTCCTGCCGTTTACTGACCGGCTCGAGAGCTCCAGAGAGAGCAGCCGGGGTGCGGTGCTCATTCGTTAAGGGCAGCGAGAGATCTTGGTCAGCGTAATGACGGAAGCAAGTGAGGTAAAGTACGATGGCGAAGCAAACAGAAATCAGTTGGGAGAGCGACGGTTTTAGAGGATAAATTGCTGAGCAGGGGGAGTGTTCTGACCTGCGGTTTGGTGAGTGGGTGGATGAGTTTGTGGGTGAGTGAGCAAACTTGTAAGTGGCTGATGGGCTGGGTGTATGCACGTTGAACTTATTTCACACCGTACAGAGCGAACCGTGCTAATCGGAGGTACGGGTAGAGGACAAGAAACTAAACACAAAGACCAGTGCAAAAGAAATTAGTTTTCAATCTAGATGATTTTAAAATGCACAGTTTCAGTGGATTCCTAATAACGGAAGGAAAATGGTTCCAGACGGACGCAGAAGCGCATCTGAAAGTGCGCAACGCTTGCCCAAAAACCTCTGCGAGGGTGAGTGTGTTGTGACCTGCAGGGTGGTGGGGTGAGTGGATGGGTTTCTGGGTGAGTGAACTTGTCAGTGGCTGACTGGTTCAGTGAGTGTCTTGTTGTGCCTGCAGTTTGGTGAGTGGGTGGGTGAGTTAGTGGGTGAGTGAGCCTGTGAGTGGCCGACTGGCTTTAGTGTGCTGTCGTGACCTGCAATGTGGTGAGTGGGTAAGTGGATGCGTGCGTGGGTGAGTGAGTGAACTTAGTCAGTGGCTGGTTGGCTCAGTGAGTGTCTTGTTGTGCTTGCAGTTTGGTGAGTGGGTGCAAGTGAATTAGTGGGTGAGTGAGCCTGTCAGTGGCTGGCTGGCTTAGCGTGCTGTCGTAACCTTCAATGTGATGAGTGGGTGGTTGGATGAGTGAGTTAGTGGGTGAGGGAGCTTGTCAGTGGCTGACTAGCTGCGCGAATGTGCTGCTGTGACCTGCAGTGTGGTGGGTGAGTGAGTTAATGGGTGAGTGAGCTTGTCAGTGGCTGACTGGCTGTGTTGAGTCCTCACCACTTGAGATTGGGACGAATTGGGGAGGCTTTCGTTCCAGAAGTCGATTGACAATGGCAGAGGATAATGACTGCATGCCACACTCAATGTGCCGTCTGTATTCATCCGTATTGTTAATGTATGAATACGCCTGTTGCTCAGGAAAGCCCCACTGAGTCTCAACTCTTCTTCAGGAGGGGTCCTGCCAAGTTTGCACAAGAGGGGGCGATGTTGCTGTCATCCCCCCACTGAGCCATTTCCAGGTAATCTGTTATCTTTGGGATGTGGTTCTGGCAAGTACCAGTTCCACTGTGTTTGTGGGTTTAGCTATGGGAGGGAAACTCGGAGGAAACCAATGGAGATCACACACATGCCACTCTGTAGTACAGAGAGTGATCACACAAACCATTGCCGGACAGCTGGGATCACTCCGTGTACAGTGCTGTACAGTATCTAAATGTGTAGGGGCCATCCCTTTCGTGGGTACGCAAAAATCTGTCAAAACCTGACCCCGTACGCACGCGGACTTTTTACACACCCCCCCCCCCCCCACCTGCCTACGTACAGTTCGCCTGACGCATCACCCCCCCCCCCCCCCCACCCCCTAGAATCCTGTAGAACGGCCGATATGTAATCCACGCAGAAACGATCAATTATTAATATTAACGTGTTTAAGCAAACAGATAGTCCACCGCCGGCTGCATTATTATCGAGGCTTCAACCCCCCCCCCCCCCATTTCCTATGCGTACATTGTGAGTAGACCCCCCCATATGCAAGCGTACGCATTTTGGGTATCCCCCTCCATGACAACGAACTAAATGGATGGCCCCGTATCGGGAAAAATCGGAGGACCCTGAGACAAATCCACGCAATCAACATGGGGAGAGAGACGCAGACTCCAAATATACAGCAGCAGGAGCAAGCGTGGTCAGGGCCTGGGCGCGAACCGACGATCTCCTGTAGGCCAGGCGAGGATGTTAACATCTAGTCACCGTGATGATAACAGGCGAGGTAGTTAACATCTCCTAGTCACCGTGATGATAACAGGCGAGGTAGTTAACATCTCCTAGTCACCGTGATGACAACAGACGAGGTAGATAACATCTCCTAGTCACCATGATGATAACAGGCGAGGTAGTTAACATCTCCTAGTCACCGTGATGACAACAGGCGAGGTAGTTAACATCTCCTAGTCACCGTGATGATAACAGGCGAGGTAGTTAACATCTCCTAGTCACCATCATAACAGGCGAGGTAGTTAACATCTCCTAGTCACCGTGATGATAACAGGCGAGGTAGTTAACATCTCCTAGTCACCGTGATGATAACAGGCGAGGTAGTTAACATCTCCTAGTCACCGTGATGATAACAGGCGAGGTAGTTAACATCTCCTAGTCACCGTGATGACAGGCGAGGTAGTTAACATCTCCTAGTCACCGTGATGATGACAGGCGAGGTAGTTAACATCTCCTAGTCACCGTGATGATAACAGGCGAGGTAGTTAACATCTCCTAGTCACCGTGGTGATAACAGGCGAGGTAGTTAACATCTCCTAGTCACCGTGATGATAACAGGCGAGGTAGTTAACATCTCCTAGTCACCGTGATGATGACAGGCGAGGTAGTTAACATCTCCTAGTCACCGTGATGATGACAGGCGAGGTAGTTAACATCTCCTAGTCACCGTGATGATGACAGGCGAGGTAGTTAACATCTCCTAGTCACCGTGATGATGACAGGCGAGGTAGTTAACATCTCCTAGTCACGGTGATGATGACAGGCGAGGTAGTTAACATCTCCTAGTCACCGTGATGATGACAGGCGAGGTAGTTAACATCTCCTAGTCACCGTGATGATGACAGGCGAGGTAGTTAACATCTCCTAGTCACCGTGATGATAACAGGCGAGGTAGTTAACATCTCCTAGTCACCGTGATGATAACAGGCGAGGTAGTTAACATCTCCTAGTCACCGTGATGACAACAGGCGAGGTAGTTAACATCTCCTAGTCACCATGATGACGACAGGCGAGGTAGTTAACATCTCCTAGTCACCGTGATGATAACAGGCGAGATAGTTAACATCTCCTAGTCACCTTGTAGATGACAGACGAGGTAGTTAACATCTCCTAGTCACCGTGATGACAACAGGCGAGGTAGTTAACACCTCCTAGTCACCGTGATAACAGGCGAGGTAGTTAACATCTCCTAGTCACCGTGATGATAATAGGCGAGGTATTTAACATCTCCTAGTCACCGTGATGACAACAGGCGAGGTAGTTAACATCTCCTAGTCACCGTGATAACAGGGGAGGTAGTTAACATCTCCTAGCACATTCCAAACACTGCACAGCAATCGAATCGCTGGGGATGGGAGGGGGTGGTGTAAAACGTCGTATTTCCAATCAAAGTAAAATGTTGTGGACCCCATGAGGCTGATGAAAGTTTCGCCCTCACGAAAGCGACGCTGGGTCGTGGCTCACGGCGCGATACCAAAATAAAAAAATAAAAAATGAAATAAATCCATCACCTCACAACTTTTTGAGGGTTTCCCGCTCTTTTTTATTGTGTGTATTTAGTGCAGGGGTCGGGAACCTATGGCTCGCGAGCCAGATGTGGCTCTTTTGATGATTGCATATGGCTCGCAGATAAAACAAAATATTCTCACTTGTTTTAATCCATCCATCGATTTTTCACTGCGCATGTCCTGTTCAGGGCTGCAGGAGCAATTGTCCATTATTTTAATTGGATGATACTGGCCTACTATTTGCCGTTGCTGGGTAAAACAGGTAAACGCCCCCTTTTGAATCAGTCTGAGACTGCGTCTGCTCGGTCATTAGCTCAAAGCTAACCCTTCGACGAAGAAGATGGCGAAAAGAAAAAAAGACGACGAGTATCGTACATTTCAGGACGAATGGACCGAAGAATTCGCCTTTGTGGAGAGAGCGGGTTCTGCGGTGTGTCTAATTTGCAATGACAAAATTACATCGTTGAAACGGTCGAATGTAAAGCGGCACTTCGACACGCGCCACGCTACCTTTGCATCAAAATACCCTGCGGGAGACAGCAGAAAGAAAGCGTGCCAAGAGCTTCTGAGCAGGGTGCAAGCTAGCCAGCAGCAACTCCGCGTATGGACCCGGCAAGGTGACTATAATTCGGCTAGCTTTGCTGGTTCTTTAGCAATAGTGAGGAACGGAAAACCATTCACAGATGGCGAGTATGCTAAAACGTTCATGCTGGATGTAGCCAATGAACTTTTTGATGATCTTCCGAACAAAGACAAGATAATCAAATGGATACAAGACATGCCTCTGTCGGCAAGAACTGTTCATGATCGTACCATCGTGATGGCAAACAAAGTGGAGGAAACGCAAGTGAAGGACATAAATGCAGCGCCGTTCTTTTCTCTGGCTTTGGATGAGTCAACAGACGTGAGCCATTTGTCGCAGTTCAGCGTGATTGCAAGATATGCTGTTGGTGACACACTGCGCGAAGAAAGTCTTGCTGTTCTGCCATTAAAAGGGTCCACAAGAGGTGAGGATTTATTCAAGTCTTTCATGGAGTTTGCTCAAGAAAAAAGTCTACCTATGGATAAACTTCTCTCAGTGTGTACTGATGGTGCTCCGTGTATGGTGGGGAAAAACAAAGGATTTGTGGCGCTTCTCCGTGAACATGAAATAGACCCATCCTAAGTTTCCATTGCATTACACCAGGAGGCACTTTGTGCTCAGATGTGTGACAGGCAGTTTGGCGAAGTGATGTCGCTGGTCATTCGTGTGATCAACTTTATTGTTGCCCGAGCCTTAAATGATCGCCAGTTTAAAACACTGCTGGATGAAGTTGTAAATAACTATCCTGGTCTGCTTTTGCACAGCAATGTGCGTTGGTTGTCAAGAGGGAAGGTGCTTAGCCGTTTTGCGGCTTGCCTGAACGAAATCCGGACTTTCCTTGAAATGAAAGGCGTTGGGCATCCTGAGCTAGCCGACACCGAGTGGCTCCTCAAGTTTTACTATCTCGTAGATCTGACTGAACATCTGAACCAGCTCAACGTGAAAATGCAAGGCATTGGAAATACAGTGTTATCCCTTCAACAAGCTGTATTTGCTTTGAAAACAAGCTGGAGCTTTTCATCACGGATCTTGAAACAGGTCGTTTACTACATTTTGAAAAACTGAGCCAATTTAAAGATGCATGCACAGCAAGTGAGCCCATTCAAAACCTTGATCTCCACCAGCTAGCTGGCTGCACATCCAGTCTCCTACAGTCCTTCAAAGCACGCTTTGGAGAATTTCGTGAGCACACTCGTCTTTTTAAGTTCATCACCCATCCAAACGAGTGTTCACTGAACACAGCCGACCTGAATTACATCCCTGGTGTCTCCGTCAGAGATTTTGAAGCAGAAGTGGCTGACCTGAAGGCCTCAGACATGTGGGTGAATAAGTTCAAGTCACTGAATGAAGATTTGGAAAGAATCACACGACAGAAAGCGGAGTTGGCGAGCAAGCACATATGTACAGAAATGAAAAAACTCCAACCCGAAGACCAGCTGATTCTCAAAACTTGGAACGCGCTTCCTGTCACATACCACACACTGCAGCGTGTGAGTATTGCTGTATTGACCATGTTTGGATCTACATATGCATGTGAGCAGTCATTCTCACATCTTAAAAACATCAAGTCCAACCTACGATCACGTTTAACGGATGAAAGCCTCAACGCTTGCATGAAGCTTAACCTCACCAAGTACCAACCCGACTACAAAGACATCAGCAAATCCATGCAGCACCAGAAGTCGCATTAATGGTGAGTGTTATAACAACATTATTTAAAAGAATAAATTCAGAGGCTTATTATACTGACATTTAGTTGAATTCACTTTTAAAATATATTATATGGCTCTCACTGAAATAAATTTCCAAATTTTTTGCTTTCATGGCTCTCTTAGTCAAAAAGGTTCCCGACCCCTGATTTAGTGAGACCCTCAGACGTGGTGTCTCATCACTACTATGAGGCGACTTTTAACACCCCCCCCCCCAGCGTGTAATATTGTTTTTGTTATTTATAAACACTCGGATTCCCGCACTTTTTATTGCTTGTTTCGTGACCTTCAAGGGGTGAGAAAAAAATTAAGGAAAAAAAACGCCTCAGACTCCGAAGTCTTAAAAAAACAGACGTGTAAAATTGTATTTATAAATAAACTACTCGGCAACGTAAAATAACAG